CCCTCCCCTCCCCCAGGCCCCTGGAAGCACCCCCCACCTCCCGACTGAACTGGAGCCTCACAACAGTGGAGCCGTGCAGACAGGAAACAGACATAGAAAAAGCCAAGAAGGGAGGCTGCCAACATCATACACTCGCCAGGCGGGTTCTCAAACCCAGTTCCCTGACTCAGCCCGGGGCTTTCCCGTAAGCTCGCTGCCTCGGCAGCAGGCATGGCGCTGGTCAGGACAACGCCAGTCCCGTCCCCAGGTGGAGGGTTCCCTGCAGGACAGTGGGGGTCCCCCTCCTGCTGGCTGGCTAGTTAAGCATCGGGGTCCCCCCACCTCTACAGCCCCTCCAGGGCCGTCGGAATCACACACCCTACGGCTCCTCTCACCGGCTGACCTTTGTCCAGGGCTCTCGTTTCTGAAACCGGCGTCCTGTGCAGCACCCTGACAGCCCCTGGGGAGGGGACCCTCACACTCCGGGAGTTTTTAAACGCCAGCGTCCGAGTCCGAGCTGCTCTTCGTTTTACCCCTAAGGGTTTGATGCAGGTCGCCCCAGCTCGCAGCTGTGAGCAATCTGGAGATCACAGCTCTCGAGTCGGCCACGTGAGCCTCGGGTCAGGACTCGGCTCCTTCCAAGCCCCGCGTCTCACAGCTCCCCCTGCCGGTGGAGAGAGAGCCCCGCGCACGGATCCTCGAACAAGAGGCTCCTCTTCCTCGCAAGCCCCGGGCACGGCCGGTAGCCTATTTGCCGACGTTCACATCTTCTAAGCCATCTTCGCTTTATGAGTTTGGAGTTATTGGGAAGAGATAAGGAGGAGACACTAAGGCCCCAGCTCTTGGAGCTAAACGAGGAGGGAGCTGCTGCGTTCACAGTTAACTGGAGAAAAACCGCAGCCTCCCTCCAAACAACAGGGCAAACCTGCATTTGAATGCTCGCCTGCTACACTGATCATAATGAGCTCTCCTTCCAAAAAGGTAAGACCCAGTTGCCAAGGGGAGGAGGAAGCTCAGCAGACACAGGGACGGGGCTGACTGGGAACCACAACCCCAGGTCCAGATTTCGCTGCAGGTTAAATCCGTGATGGCCCTTTCATCCCCTTTGTCAGTTGCTCCCTCCTTGGAGAGCCGGCTCCTGGCGGGGGGAAAGAGCACCGGCTTTGGCAGGCCAGCCTCCTGTGGCCCAGCCAGACGCTTCCGCAGTGGGAATGGCATGGAGAGAGGGGGCCAGAGAGATGAGAAGCCAGTGACCTAAAGGGAATCCTGCTCCTTCCACTGGCTGTGGTTTCACACCACGGGGGCCTCGCCCCTGGAGAGTCTAATTTAATTGGTCAGGGATGGGGGGTGGGGGACTCGGCTCCGGTGTTTTCACTCCTGCTCAGGTGATTCTAATGTGCGGCCATGACATAACCACGGGGCCCACGGGTCTTCGAGGTGGGAAGGTGGGGATTAACACTTGGGAAGTCCTTGCCTCGCCCTCGTTTCAGTAAGCTGGGTGCTGCCACGGTAACTGTCCACAGAGAATGTTGATGGTAGTCAAACCTCCCGTACCTTCCGGGAACCCTGAAATTGTCGGGAAGGAGTGAGTGAAGGCCCCGAGGTCTGCTGAGAAGTGGGGAGCCTGTTCATTTCCGTGTCAGAGCTGTTGAACAGAGACGAAGGGCACCCCACCGTTTAGAAGGCTGGGGCATCAGCAGGCAGGTGCAAAGACTCCAAGGTCATTTCCCAACCCCCATCTGCACTGGTATTATCAGTTCGTGAATGAGGGGGAGGGAAGATACAGGGTAGTGTCATTCAAATGCCCCCCCCCAAATTCGTCCAGGTTCCTCAGCAGAGGACCTGAGGAGCCATGAGGACTGGCATGAACACAGCATCGTGGCCAAGGGCTAGGTTCCAAGCTGGGCTACCTAAGATTGCATCCTGGTTCCATTACTTACTAGCTGTGTGTTCTTGAGTGAATGACTTACCCTCTCTGTACCTCATTTCCTTATAAGGTTGTCATGAGGATTGAATGAGTGACTGCATTTAAAGCTGGGGTATATGCTTGGGGGAAATTTTCCGCAGCTGAAGCAGGGGCCCAGCACCATTGTTAGAGAAGGGAGTCCCATGGCAGAGAGGCAGGGCACGGGGTGGCTGATACACAATAGCATTACCTTGTTGAACTGCTAGTATCTGGAAAGGCATTGTTAGTCCTACTGGGCATGAGAAAGTGAGTCTCAGAGGGAGGAAGTGGGTTGCCCAAAGGGCTCCTGGCCTTCAGGCCTAGGCCATCTGACCCCCAAGGCTCAGCTCCAATCTGCTCACCCTGGGGTGCATTTTCCAGGCAAACAAGGCCATGAAATCTGAGTGTGAGGGCCAGAGAAGCCCTTCCTTCTTTTGTTCTCAAAGAAAAAGGTTTGGGGCAACTTTTATTTTTACAATAAGAAAGATAACAGTATCTTACTGCTTTATGTAACATTTATGGTGAACAGCTAAATACCAACACAACGTTCTAAAACCCAGCGCAGCCTTCTAGAGTATGTATGCAATTGACATGCATCTGGAGTACTTTATTTCTTTGCTCTTTTTCCTTCCCCAT